CAAACCCGAGCCTTGTTGTTTTGCTGTGCAACTTTACTACTTTAGCCAAGAAATTGCTCGTTTAGTAACTGTTAAAGGCTGTACATCTGCAACAATATTACAACTTTTGTAGAACAAAATTGCTGTCCTCGGCATACATTTATTGCGAAATATGTTGGGATACAACTTCACCATTACCTAACTTTCTGCTGTCATATTTTTGTTAAAATGTCATAACCATGTCACAAACAACGCATGCATATTGGTTCAAAAGGATTTATCAACTGTTCAAACAGAAGATATAGATCTGGTACAAATTCTGGGTAAATCATTCGAATCTGTCGGTATTGCATTTCAGACATTTGTCAAATTGTTGTATAACACCTGCAGACAACACCAAACTATTCTAATAAACCAAAGACAACATGGACGATGCCATGATTATACATAACCATCCGCCATATTGGGCAAACATTTATTCCTCCATTTAATATTAAATAATTATGTTTTAGTTCGACATTACAGATATAAAGTGATAGGCATTAGTGCAATTGTGTCTAAATATAGGATTTGTGGAAGATTTAATGCAGATAAGTCATCTTAAAAATCTAGACAAACTTTTGATCATTATTAAAATATGAATCGAATACGAAGCCCGTAGAAATTGCGTAACTACTTTGCACGATAATCACAATAAAATTTGCTGCGCAGGTAATTCAATAGCCCTATATCACAGTGTAGAAGTTTATCATATATCTGTCTATGAAATAATTCACAATGGCCGATATGTTAGTAAACAAGATAACTGTAATGTGTTAGTTATATATTCCTCACTTCGTCTATACAATACATAAGAAATAGTTTGGTTGCAATAAAGTAGAATTATGTAACAGAATAGTTGTATAGTTGACAAAAACTGAATCTTGCACTGACGCAAATGTCCTATAGCGGCTGCAAAAGGCTTACACTATTGTTGTGTAACTGTTACCTGCAGCCCTTATACAACCTCTTAAATGACTGAAGTGTCCTATTAGGTGTGCCCATTCCGCTTGTATAGCGTATAATCATTCTTGCAACTCTAATAGAAGTGATAGTTAGTTGAGGATCATGTAACTGGTCCAGTCAAAGGGTTCTCCCGGAGCCCTTTCGCACCGACGGGCTATCGGCGATCTAGCTCTCTCCTATCGCTGCCTTTTTTATACTGCAACCACCACTAAGTTCAGGTCCTAGACACCCATCGGAATCCTAAGGGAACACGTGTGCATGAGACATGCACAATTTTGGCCCTGTCTTAGAGATCCGCCGGGTGGTAGTACAAGTAAAATGACTAGAAACATAATTGTTTTTTAATTTCATACCGGCTGATTCCTTTACTTTACTTCTGTAGTTGTTACCCTCTTTGTGTAATACTGAGATATCCTCCCATTTTATTATATGTCCTGTTTCCCATACATGTTTCAGATGTTACATTAATCTATTACCTGAAATTTGAAAACCTCTGTGATAACAATATCGTCCTCTTTCCACCTGGGAAGTAAAAAGCAGCAACTGTTGTGAGGATTTTTACCACGACCTTGTGAAAACGTCATTGTGTTGTTCCTGCCACCGTCATGAAGCTGTCGTTACTTTCAAAGACGTCGTCGGCATTCGTTATATATTTTCCACAGTGCTCCAGGCTATTCCGAGGCGAGGATTTTCTCCTCTTTGTGCCACCAAAGGACTTGCAAACAAAACTAAATCCACAAAGCGCCCACCAAGATTCGTTAGAGGAATAGGCAAATGTGCACTCTCTCTGTTTTCGCAAAGTGGCGTCGCCACATCTTATATGTGGGTCGTGTATTGGCATTGACACCATAAGGCCCAATTTTACTATTGGCCCGGGCCTATGACTCAATTCGGCCAATGAGAAGGTGTTTTTGAAGTGATGGATCTGATCAATATAGCCTATTTCTTGTAAAATGTTTCTAAAATTAGACAAAAATTATACGATTTGTGAAAGATGGGCCCATTATTTCGATATTAAATCAATAAATATTCCATACATCACCTGGTTTAGCTACAAAATTCAATTTTTTCACACAAAGACATTGGCACTAATTTCATCAATCGAAAACATATTTCATATCTACCCTGTAAAAAATATAGTCAAATTAAAAACCTAAATACCTAAGAAAAATGTAAAAAGGACATATCGATTGTTAATTTGATGAAGATTTCAACAATTCATTATCAACTTCCATTGTAAAGATATGTTCCTTTTATGTTGAGAACAATGGATAAAACAACAAAATCACAGGACGGTGTCTTGACTAGTCTTCCGAACTAGAAATCGTATATGACGACGAGGCTGTGCAGTCGCAGAAGGGTTATATTCTGAAACCAACTCTTGTGAAACGAAATACAAAGAGTTGTTTTCTTTGTAGACTCTCTGTATGTATACGTATAAATATTATTGTACGTAGGACGCAGTCACTGCCGTCAACAACTAGTTCGATGAAAAGTTATCTTTTGTGATATCGCCAAGATTATTGCAAAGTGAAATCATTTAACGATATAACATCAGTTATTGAATTGTGGATTTAATTCTGTTTGTGATGTGTATAGTACAGGGTGGTCCATAAGTCCTTTGAAATTTCAAATTTGAATAAAATTTAACGGGTGAGCGTGAGCGGCGCGGGCGAGGTGGGGGCAGTATCTTCAGTGTCTGGGAATTCAGTCGCCATGGAGTGTTTCACTGGAGCGGATCGTGCTTTTTGTGTGCGCGCGTTTTATCAAAATAATGATTCGGCAACCATTGCGCGGCGTAAATATCGAGAATACCACAATTTACACAATTTTACAAAGTGTCCAACAGCTCAAACGATTAAGAACTGGGTTGCTAAGTTCGAAGAGACTGGTTCGACGTTAGATAAACAGCGGTGGGGTCGACCAAGGACAACTCGTATTGAAGAAAACATCAACATTGTGGCACAGTCTGTTCGTCAAAATCCTACCCAGTCTACTCGTAAGCGTTCCAGTGCACTAAACGTACCCAGAACACCTTTACAGCGGATTCTAAGGAAAGATTTACGTCTGCACGCTTACAAAATTCAGTTAGTGCAGAAATTAAAAGATAATGACGCTATTAAGAGACTAAACTTTGCGAATGAAATGTTGAATCGATTTTCTTCGCTCAATAATGTGTTGTTCTCGGACGAGGCTCACTTCCATTTAAACGGGCATGTAAATAAACAAAATTGCCGTTATTGGAGCCCCGAAAATCCAAGGCGTAAGCATCAGAAGCCCTTACACAGCCCTAAAGTTACAGTTTGGGCTGCTATGTCAGCTCATGGCATCGTAGGCCCTTATTTTTTTGAGGACGACAGAGGTCGCGCATTAACTGTTACTTCAGAGCGGTATGTAGCAATGATAGAAGAGTTTTTGACACCAGCGTTGCAGAATTTTCCAGGCTATAATACGCAGACCTGGTTTCAACAGGACGGAGCAACTGCCCACACCTCCAACACTTCTATGCCCGTCGTCTGTCAACTTTTTCCCAGCAAAGTAATTTCTCGAAGAGGAGACATTTCCTGGCCACCACGTAGTCCAGATTTGACCCCAATGGACTTCTTTTTATGGGGCTACCTCAAGAGTAAAGTGTACGACACCACTCCGCGATCAGTTGATGTCCTGAAAGAAAATATCCGAAGAGAAATGGCAAGCATTACAGTGTTGACTTGCCGCGCAGTCATCGACAATTTTAGACGTCGTTTATATGAGTGCCGTGATCGTAATGAATTGCATTTAGACGATGTGATTTTTAAAACATAATTCCCATTCAATAAAGATGATAACAAAATATAATAATTCTTCATAATGTAACTAGATTGGTTTTATTCCTTTTTTCCAGCTCAAAGGACTTATGGGCCACCCTGTATATTGAATGAATAAAAGATCTATTCCCCCGCTGGGTGAACGACTGGAGAGGGAGTTGCCGTCTTATCAGCGAGGCAGTCGGTCGAGCACACCCGCCGAGAGAAGGTCGTACCGAGATATCTGTGTATCATTGTGTGACGGGAAACGAACGTAAATAATAATATTATTTACACGACACTACATATTGGCGACGAGGACAAAAGGTATGTGGGTACATTTACTCCTCAATAAAGTATTGATCAAGCTACTTAAGATTAAGTGTCAAAACACGTAGAAAAGGCAGAAAAGATAAACTGCGAGTGAAAAAAAAAGTTGTTTTGATAATCTATGAATATGACGCAGCACTAAACAAAGAATAACTTTCATGAATATGATACATGGAAGAAGTAACCATGAATATGATGCATAGGTTGCATAAAGTATAATTTTGATGGATCAGATACATCAAATCAGTGATTATGAATATGATACATAACACTGTATAACTGGTGAATAAGAAACACCAAAGTCAAGACGAACGACCTCGATGAATAGGACACATCGAACGTTGAATGTATATGTATGTGTTGGGCTACTTTGATGAATAAGATACAACAAGGCATGAATATGAATATGATACATAACACTGCGTAGCTTTGCTGAATATGACACATATATGAACAAAGAATGAATTTGACTTATAAGATCCATCGATCCTAAAATGTATATGCATACAATGTGAGTTTTGTTTACACAAAAGTAGCAATTACATTTAATTTCAGGTCATCATGTCAACATTAAACTCGTTGGAGCCTTTTGACTGCGATGGACAAGTTTGCTCGGTAGCTGTCAGATAGCAAAAGTGGAAAAGAGCACTAGAAGTGTATTTAGAAGCAGCTAACATCGACAGCCCCGCTAAGAAGACAGCAAATTTGCTACACATCGGTGGGCTAGGGTTAAAAGAAATATATTACAACCTACCTGGAGCTCATATTTCTGAACAAACCGAAGACGTTGAAAATCCAGTGAATGTCTACGAGATAGCTATAGGAAAGCTAGATGAATATTTTGCACCAAAACAAAGCAAGGTGTACGAAAGACATGTTTTTCGGCTAATAAAACAGGAGATGGATGAGAAGTTCGAAAAATTCCTTGTGCGGCTGAGAAATCAGGCAGAGAAATGCGTATTTAGCAAAACCGAAGAAAACATTATAAACCAAATCGTTGAAAAATGCAGCTCATCTGACCTTCGGAAGAAAATATTAACAATTGGAGACTCCATCTCATTAGAAAACATTGTTGCTGAAGCAAATGCATTGGAAGCAGTATCAAGACAAATGGAAGAATTTGCTGAAAAGAAAACAGGCATTGAAGTGAACCAAATAAACAATAACACCAAAAAAAAATTTAGAGCCTCAGAGATAAAATCATGTTTTCGTTGTGGCTCAAAAGGCCACATTTCTTTTAACTGTCCAGCAAGAGAGAAAATTTGCAAGAAATGCGGCTACAAAGGACACTTCAGCGAGCAGTGCAGAACTAAGCCGGGGAAAAGAAGAACACACTATGAGAGCACAACGGTAAGAAATCAAGATACAGAGAGCCAGACAAGGACGACGACGATCACAACACAAACTATGTGTTCCACATTGACAATGATTGTGACATATTATGTATGATTGGAGGAATACTAGTTTAGATGGTAATCGATTCTGGTAGAAAGTGTAACATATTAAATGACGAAACATGGACGTACCTAAATAATTCGCAGGTATCGGTGTCAAATCAAACAAAACGACCCAATAAAATTCTCATGGCTTATGCTAGCAAAGAACCGTTAACTATTCTTGGGTGTTTTGATGCTGAGATTAACGTAAGCGAGTTTGTAACTCGGACGACTTTTTACGTAGTACAAAATGGTACGAGACACCTTTTAGGAAAAGATACAGCGAAGTCTTTAGGTGTCCTAAGGATTGGAATTTCTGCTCAACCCCTCACACGGTGGTAAAGAAAAATGGTAGTGACGTCCAAGTAGAAAACGACGAAACTGGCCAGCAATACAGATGTAATGTCGTCCATTGAAAAAGACAGAGGGGCAATGGAAAGTAATAAACACTGAAGGGGATGAGGAAACTTCACTTGAGCAAAATAATGAACACTACTTAAGTCGTAACATTGTACATTTCACACAGGCCATTAAATAAGATTATATATTTTCAGCTAGGTATTAAGTTGTCATTGTTAGTTAGTAAGGTAGTACTTTAGTTTGTTAAATGCATTCAAACAATATAGGGTAGTTATAACTGATTTGTTATACTATATATGTAAAATAATGTAAACAAAGAAGGGATGTAGTATATTGAATGAATAAAAGATCTATTCCCCCGCTGGGTGAACGACGGAGAGGGAGTTGCCGTCTTATCAGCGAGGCAGTCGGTCGAGCACACCCGCCGGGAGAAGGTCGTACCGAGATATCTGTGTATCATTGTGTGACGGGAAACGAACGTAAATAATAATATTATTTACACGACACTACAATGTGTTTCTCGGACTTCCATTCTCGATAAAGTTTTTTGTTTCACGACGTTACGATTGTCATCAGGGGATCTGGCGAACATCAATCCAAACGTTGTGAAACAAAAAACTTCATAGACAATGAAAGTCAGAGAAACAACATCTCAATCATACGAGTTTTCATTAAATTTCAAACAACAGTATGAGTTTTTTAACGTTTTCAACAAATAGTTTCGCTTATTCATGAATCCATTCGTAATTGTCGTTTTATCATAACATTTAGCACTATTCTCAGTTAACTAATCTCCTTAAGATAATAACATAGTTTATCGAAAGCTTGAGAATGAAGATTCACTTTACAATAATCTTGCAGATATCCTAAAAGATAACTTTACTCAACTATATGTCTGTGCCTTAGAGGTACATAGCTGTAACTCCATATAATGCAATTCAGAGAACAAGCAAATTAAAGATTGAGTTATTAGCAGAACGGTTCATGTTACTGTTAATATGCGAATATAGTTTTTTGGGAAAACATATATGGTACACAGAACAGTAATGCTTCATGTTAATGATCTTAGAAATTGATATTCAGATTATTATGTGAGTTACGACTATTTACTATGATAATAAAATCCAGGTGCAGCATAGGATGAAACACAGTAAGTACAATTGGTGGAAATATTCTACATTTTATTATTACAAAAAATGGCATCTGGAGAATATACAGGTATATTCAATTGTCGTCGTCTTCATCATGCCCTTGTTGACCCAGCACAGGAATATTTTTATAAAAATCATCAAATACTTCTGGTATCCATTGCAGAAGCATGAGAAGATGATCGTGCTTTTTCTGGCTAAGTCCTTTTGGGGTTTGACGCGGCGAACATAGTTCTAGTGGTAACCCTATCGGTTTTATAGAGGATCCATTCATGCTTACCATTTTGTAGTGCTCTTGGAATATGCCTGTTTTATAGTAGAGTATCCCTGGATCCTGTTTTCGAACCTCAAGCCACACCGCTGATGACACTAAAAAGCTTTCTTTGTCTACTGTCTGTTTCTTTTGAATGAGAGGTGACTTTGTACCGGAATATAAGGCCTAGAAATTCTTGAAGTGATCTAACTGCATCTCGAAAACTGTAGCTCCGGTTGATCTTATAAGTTGCTGCCAGTCCCATGGCGTACATATTTTCATGGTTGGTTGTCTTTTTATAACTCGTTCGATAAGTGCATGGATATGATCAGCTTCCATGTGTGTGTGTCCACGTAGAAGAAACGTGTGAATGATACACTTTAATGAAGGACTTATTATTTGTAATATGTAAAAGTAGTTTACGATCATCATAATGTTCCTGTTTTGACTCGGACACCTATACTATCAATTATGTTGTACTTACTAGATTCTCGAGAATCGATTTCCTCCTCCAGTGCAAGCTGCACTAATTTTTGAGAGCTTGAGGACATTATTACCGTTTCTTGGTTACTTAAGCACCCTGATGAACTTTGAAGAATGATTGAACACAGTTTGTAAAACAAGCGGTGCGCGACGGAGACACGACTGTTTACCGCTGCCTAGCGATGATCCATATGATAGTATTGTGCGTTATGTATGGAGAAGCGACTGTTTATCTCTAACAAAAAATCACTAGCAACTTGTTCTATTTCATATATTTCATGATTATCGTGGTTAGGCGCTACGATCATTTGCTCCACGTAATGATTAACCAGGGATACTAATTATACGCAGATAATCACAAAAACTACAAAAATGGAGTTACGATCGTTTACCTCTAAGGCACAGATGTATAAATATTATATACAGGGTGATTCACAAGTCGTGACCAAAAATGAAACAACATACACAGTGCTACATTTAAGGGGGGGTGTTTAAAAATTAATTAAATAATTTTCCTTATTATCTCCAAAACCGTCAACTGGAATGAACTTGGTATGTCCACATTCAAAAGTCTTTACTCAAAATTAACGTGCACCAGTGGCGGAGATACAGGAGATTAGTGGCACTAGTTTTCCAAATAAAAATAGTACGCCATTGTTTTTTTTTCAAAACGTGCTAATTTTGGAATTGTGCCTTCAATTTGCTACAAATAATTGCCCTCGTGTTTTTTTCCTAGAGTGCACTGTTTTCGTAAAAATAAAACAAATTAGATCATTCATGAGGAGCCGTGATACTATTAGTTAAAAAATAAAATAGGAGGCATTGGTACCAACTTGACGTTTCTTGGGAGTTAGTTTGTCAAAGTTATGTTTTTTTTGTAAAAGTCAAGTTTTAAGTCTTTTTTGAGTGAAATGAAATTTAGCAATGATGAGTATGCCGATATAATTTTTGTATCAACGCAGATTTCCTAACAGACGCCAAACTATCCCAAAGTTTTTACGCGATCATTTCTTAGACTTCGGTAATATGGAATTCCCGAAGTTAGAGGCCATGGTGTCCGGCATACGCTTCAAGAGGACAAGGGGGTAATTAATTTGGCGTTGGATGATCCTACTACAGGTACTAGGCGGATTGCAGCCCAGTTACCCTGTTCCTAATGTCTTGCGTGGAACATTTTTAAGCGTTTTACATCCTTAGCGTCGGCAAAACGTGCAATGTCTGCAACCAAGCGAAATTTTTGTGTTTACTGCAAATTCATAATCAAAATGCAGATTTTATTGATTTGGCTTTATGGTCAGATGAATCGCTTTTTACGAGAAGTGGAACCTTTAATTCTCATAATGAACATATTTGGTCGTTAGAAAATCCCCGTTCTGTAAGAATCCACTCGTTTCAACACAGATTTTCTAGAAATATCTGGTGCGGCATGTTCAATGGTTAACTGTTTATGCACGTATTGCCACAACGCTTAAATGCAAACTCATACTTAGCTTTTCTAGAGAATTATGTAAAAAAATTGTTAGATGATGTTCCGTTAGCAACCAGGGTACGAATGTGGTATCAGCACGAGGGTGCTTGACTGCACGTTCGTCGTGACATAACCGCATGGATAAGTAATCATGTTAGACAATGATGGATTGGCAGAAACGGACCCGTACATTGGCCTGCGAGGTCTTCTGATTTGAACCGCTTGGATTTTTTTTGTGGGGCGTTTTTGAACAAGTAGTGTATGCTGATAAAATAAATACTGTTGATCAGTTACAAGAAAGAATAGGTGATGATTTTCATCAAATTCAAGCCGCAACAAATTTTGCGGAAATTTTTATTAAAAAGATGCCGCACTTGTATCCATTTAGATTTACTGAAATAAAGCTTTGATTATCTACTTTTCTTTTATTTTTACGAAAGCAATGCACTCAAGGAAAAAACACAAGAGTAATTATTTGTAAAAAATTGAATGTGGTATTCGAATAATTGCGCGTTTCAAAAAAAAATTAGTGCCGTACTATTTTTATTTGGAAAAATAATGCTACTAATCCCCTGTATCTCGGCCACTGATGCATGATAGTTTCAAGTAAAGGCTTTTGAATGTGGGAAATACTTAGGTAAATCCACATACCAAATTCTAGATCATTCCAGCTGACGGTTTTGAAGATATTAAAAAATGCATTTTATTTTTAAACTTTAACACCCCGTATGTGAGAAGAAGAATACATAGAGGACTCCCCTTAAAATGCGGTCCTAGAACGATATTTCATTTTTGGTCGCGACTTGTGAACCACCCTGTATACGGTTATATTAACAAAGAAATATACGTTACACGCATACCTTTATAATAAATAGGATCATTGCAAGTATTTATCTTGAATATTGCTGGGGCACAGACAGTGTGCAAGCTATAGCGGGAAACGGTGGTTTATACAGCTAAATTATAGACAGGTCAATGGGCATGTTGATAAATTGTTAAAAATATTTCCTTTGGTCAAAACTATCTCTCTCATATAAAACGTAACAATGTTATTTTCTATAAGATGCTCAGTAATTGCAATCTTATTAATCTAGATATTGCATCAGATTTGGTCCAAGCTTTAAGTATGATGCAAGTCTTCTTTTTGATTGGTGGATTTTGTGCCCGTAGCCACAAGCTTTGCGCCCGGGAGAAAATGAAGAAATAGTTTTTTTGTAGCTAAACCAGGTGATTTATGGAGTACTTCAAATATTTAATACGGGAATTAGCGGCCCATCCCAACTAACAATTATGACTCCTAT